TAGCGGGTCAAATGACTTCACAAAGAACAAAAACTGAGCCAAAACAAACACCAAGAAATGAAACATGACTAAAAAGTATGAGAAGTATGGAACCCGTGATCTGCTCTGGCACTTCACAGTCACAAAAAGGGAAACCATCAAGTGGATGCTACAACTTATTTGCTCCTGGCAGGACCTTTACATTTCAAAGCTGTTTGTTTCGAAAGCTATTGAAGAACAAGACTGAGGCGTACAAAGTGGATGTGTTACGGCCCGTCCTTCACGGCTTCCGAGACAGTGAAGCACAGAACAAGGCGTGTCCCACTCAGTCATAGGAACTGCTCTTGCAAATGGGCATTTATGAGTTCCTTCTGGGGCTCAATTAGGGTTGCCAACTCCAACTTGGGGAATTCCTGGAGGTGGGGGGAGTACCAGAGCAGTAACAACAATGGGGAAAAGCTGTGACGCAGGACACAGTAGAACTAGTAATAATGTTAATATATTGGACAGATACAATGTGTGCAGTACATGAATATAATCCTGGCACAATAAAGCACAATGATACTAAATATGAATCTTCTGATACACAGTGAAATATTCCATAAAATCCTCTTTCCAAAGTAGTTCTTTCCAACAAAGAATCCGGATATTGAAGACTTCGTTTTGATAATCTTCCTCAAGAAAATTACTATTCTAAGTATTTCAAAGGCATCAAGTTCCAGAGAACTGTATAGCTTCAGACTACTGATATAGAAGAGGTTTCCAGTGACCATTTTATTTCTATTGATGGGCCACCAGTAACACATTTTAGAAGCCACTCTGTATTGGTGCTGAGCTGGTCAGAAGCCACCAGGCTCTCAGCCTTCCGAGAACTGGTGAGATCTGCGGGACTTCGGTCATCCAGGTCGGGGTGGATAAAAATCTATCATTTGTTTCTTTTAAAAAAATTAAATTGGTTTTTTTAAAATTTAAATTGGGTTTTTAAATAGAATGCTTTTTGAGGGGGGAAAACCTATCTAAAGATAGTTTTCTGTCTAAGATACATTATAGTCCAAAGTTTATTCATCATAGAATATGGATTAGTTTTTAATTATGCAGCATGTGGCTGTTATATTCATGCAATGTTAAAACTTTTTGGTAAATGAATTTCCATTAATCCATTTGGAATGTCATGCTCTCCCAGAGGTTTCTGTAAGATTATTTTAGCCGGTTTTTCTATCTAGAAGATATTATCGCAGATGCTTGGTTTGGCAGTTCTGAAGACTGTGAATTTTGTGTCTGCAAAGACAACATGCCTCTTCTTCACAGCAAACATATTATAAAAAAAATACACAGAGCTGAGAAAAAGACCTTAAGCTATTTTGTTCCTCTCCAAATTTTAGTTAAATAAAACTGTTCCAATTGTTATCATTAAGGTAATGATTATTTTTCTCCTTACCATAAAGTACAGCAGTCCAAATATGAATGATTAACCGATTAACCTGGAGACAGTTCACCTCGTAATAATCTCTTTCTAATGGTACACCGCAGACCCGATACAACGTGGATGTCTGGGTCCACAGTTCTATACCGCGTTTTACCTGAGTCCACGTTATATTGAGATTGGTGTCAGCTGAGCCGCCTTGTCTGCATCGACGGCCAAGGGCCAGGGGTGCGTGGGGCTGAAAGTGCCAGCCTGTTGTGGGTCCGGGTCCGGCGGAGGCTGACCCCTCCTCAGAGGAGGAAGAGGCAGGGAACAACTCAGCCTCCTCTAGAGACAGCCCAGAGGAAGAACCCTCAGCAGTAACCGAGGAGGAGGAGGAAGAGTCCCCGGCAGCTGCACAAGAGGTGCAGCCAGAAGGAGAGACCATTCCTGAGCCAGATTGCAAAGAGAGGGCGTGCCAGTCCCAGAGCTCTGTATCCCATCCTTTAGACTGGCATCAAACACCAGTGGCCTGAAAAGACTCATCCCCAGTCAGTCACCTGGGAAGATTACCCTTCCACTCGGCCCCACAAATATTACTTACACATAAATATTTTGGGCATTTCGATTCTGAAACATTTGATAGGGTATTTTTTTCTGGATTTAGAATGGAAGTGGCAGAGAGGTGAAACCTGAGCAGAGAAGCTGGACACAGCCGCTGCTTTCGAGCTGCAAAAATCCATTTTTCGCATGTTGCCCTGAAGGCAGTCAAGTCTACTCTCAACTTTTCAGCTTAACTGGCAAAAAAAATTTCCTGCCTCGTCCAGTTATCTGCTTTCTCAAACCTTCTTGTTATCCTCATAATCTGTCCTTTTTCTAACAAACTCAGAGTCGAGGTTTAGGGAGAGTTTGAAAAGGGAAAGTAGGAATCTCCATAGAGATCAACAGACGGGTTTCAGACATTGCTAGTAGATAACAGACACACTTCGTCCCACAAGATAAAATTACAAGCATTTTACAAGTGCTACAGAAGTGCTCCTAGCAATTAAAGAAGGTGGCCTATCAGTGATAGGTGGGTGTTCGGCAAGAAGTGCCCATCACAGATGGCTTTTCCCCAAGTCAAACCCATCACACTTAAACCTGCTTTGTCTAGTATGCTTTTTTTTGGGGGGGGAGGGGATGACACAGGGGTCCATGTAATAGGTTTTGCCATTTGTCCTGCATAAACAGCTTCCCTGATTTTGCTAGCCTGGCACCTGGGAACTAGACAGTTATCAAATGCAGCAGTTCTGTTCCACCTGCAAGTTACCTCCTGCATCCCCCAGGAAAAAGATGACAGCAAACCAGGCAGTGAATCCCAATTCGGAGAGGAGGCCTGGCCAAATACACAAATCTGCTATCCTTGGCCTGAGAAACAGATAGTAGCTCAGGGAAAAGATTGTGGTGGGTGGTCACTCTTGACTACTGGGGTTTACAAGGCCAACGGCCTTCCATAAGAGATGTAGGGTGACTTTTGGGGTTGCACTGGGCATCCAAGCTGCTTAAGAACATAAGTAGAGGCCTGCAGGATCAGACCGGTGGCCCATCTAGTCCAACATCCTGTCTCACACAGTGTCCTCTGGACAGCCAACAGTAGGGCATAGAGGCTGAGGCTCTGGGATTCAGAGGCTTAGTGCCTCTGCATGTGGAGGTTCCCCTCAGCCACCGTGGCCAGTAGCCGTTGACAGACCTCTCCCTCCACGAATCTGTCCAGTTCCCTTTTAATACGGTCTGTACCTGCAGCCACAACTCCTCCTCTGGCAGCGAATCCCACATTTTAATCACTCGCGGTGTAATGAAGTATTCCTTTTTGTCAGTCCTCAATCTACTACCCGTCGGCTTCACTGGGTGTCCTCGAGTTCTACTGTTTTCAGAGTGGGAGAAAAAGTTCTCTTTGTGAGCTGTCTCCAGCCGTGTGCATAATTCTATAAACCTCTATCGTGTCCCCTCTTAGTAGCCTCTTTCTGTCTCCATTCTTGACAACACTGTTCAATAATGGCTGCTTTTCATGACTCCCAGAGCACTATGAGCTTCTCTGTCCCACGGCGACAGCAGATAATTAGTGCTTTTGGACAGGCAGGCAATCTGGAAACTGCAGGATCTGCTTCCTAGACCTCTCTCTTCTGGTCCCTGGGTGCCAGTTTGGTGTAGTGGTTAAGTGCACGGACTCTAATCTGGGAGAACCGGGTTTGATTCCCCACTCCTCCACTGGCACCTGGCTGGATGACCTTGGGCAAGCCATTGTTCTGATAAGAGCTGTTCTTGAAAAAGAGCAGTTTCTGTCAAAGAACTCTCTCAACCCCACCCACCTCACAGGGTGTCTGTTGTGGGGAGGGGAAGGGAAAGGAGTTTGTCAGCCACTCTGAGACTCCAAGTGAAGGGCCGGGTATAAATCCAATCTCTTCTTCTTCTTCTACCTCACAGGGTGTCTGTTGTGGGGAGGGGAAGGGAAAGGAGTTTGTCAGCCGCTCTGAGACTCCAAGTGAAGGGCAGGGTATAAATCCAATCTCTTCTTCTTCTTCTACCTCACAGGGTGTCTGTTGTGGGGAGGGGAAGGGAAAGGAGTTTGTCAGCCGCTCTGAGACTCCAAGTGAAGGGCGGGGTATAAATCCAATCGCTTCTTCTTCTTCTACCTCACAGGGTGTCTGTTGTGGGGAGGGGAAGGGAAAGGAGTTTGTCAGCCGCTCTGAGACTCCAAGTGAAGGGCGGGGTATAAATCCAATCTCTTCTTCTTCTTCTACCTCACAGGGTGTCTGTTGTGGGGAGGGGAAGGGAAAGGAGTTTGTCAGCCGCTCTGAGACTCCAAGTGAAGGGCCATGGGGTATAAATCCAATATCTTCTTCTTCTTCTATCAGGCCCACGTCAGACTGTCAGGAATGGCTTCATCAGTCTTTTATCCAGACTCTTCTTCCCAGCTCCAAGGATGGCAAAAAGCAAAGGGCATTTCAGCAGAACCTTTTTACTTTCTGATTTAGAGGAAGGAGAGAGAAAAAAGCCCCCCCCCCTCATCTTTTTGAGCCTGCAGGCACCTTTGGCATTCTGACACAGAGTAGTGGGCACAGCCAAAATGGCTGCTGCAGGAGACGGAGCCAGCCACAAAATGGCTGACGTGGCTTACCTACAGTCAGGGCTCTTTTGTAGCAGGAACTCCTTTGCATATTAGGCCACACCCCCTTAATGTAGCCAATCCTCCAAGAGCTTACAGAGCTCTTCTTACAGGAGCTACTGTAAGCTCTTGGAGGATTGGCTACATTAGGGGTGTGTCACTTAATATGCAAATTAGTACCTGCTACAAAAAGAGCCCTGCGTACAGTCACACAGGGAAGATCCTTGTGCTGTGGGGGCAGCTGCTGCCAAAGCAACTTTTAAGAAACCTGCACATCCAATCAAATCTCCAGTGACCAATAACAAGCCTTGCTGGGCAAAAGCTGCACCAGGCCCCGCCCACTTCCCAAAAACACTTGGTGGGCGCCAGGAAAGGTGCCGGTGGGCACCACGGAGCCCACAGACACCACGTTGGGGATCCCTCTGCCCCACTCTCTCTCTCGGGGGGGGGGAGAATGACATTACGGACACAGTGACCAGGCCTACAGGAATTAATATTTCTATACAATTACGGACACAGTGACCGAGGGACCGACAACAGTGGACCGTAGCAGATGCCAACTCTAAATGAAAAGTGTAATAAATCAAGCAATACACCTGGAATAAAAGAGCTTTGCAGTCTGTGATTTTATGTTAATTAAACAGTGCCGGGTTTGGCCAGTTACAGACCATTTGCACAGCAAAAATGAATTATAAGTTTACATGAAATAGAGATCAGTACCCAATGAAGGTAATATAGAAGGATGGTTTTGTCTGATTGTTAATAGTTAAGGTTCCTCTACCTTGTTTTGTTATCCAGCTCTTGAACCTGTGAGGGGGAGCGCTAGTTTTTGTCAAATGTTTGGTGTTACTTTACAGACACAAGAACGTTAAAGCATACAGCTTTTCTAACTCCAGAGCAGAAGTCTTTACACAAGTCTGACTTAGAAACCATCCTCTGCATTCAAGCTCCTCTTGCCTTCCCTCTGAGACCGATTACTCAACTACAGCCATGCCGAATGCTCAGGGCTTTTTGTTCAACATGTTAAACTTCACAGAAGCAAGTAAATATTTACGACAAAGTTAAATACATCATTGGAATCCCTACATTAACTCTAACATTTTTAACCTCTTAAATGCAACCCCCCCGTTGCCCTCTACTGTCAAAAGTCTCATTCCTTCGATGCGTTTTCCCAACCAAATGTCGGCTTCCCTTGTGCTTCTCAGGGCACTGCAGCGGTAGCTTTCCTTAGAGTGAGGTAGCCGGCGACAACATCCGACGGGAGCATCCGAATATAAGCAAACTCCTCGATGGTGCTAAATCTCAGCTTGCTTTGTGGGTCCGTGTAGCTGGCCTAGAAAAGGAGCAGACAAACATATGAGCGGAGCAATTGGCAAACAGATCCCTTTCAAAGCCCATAAAAAACTTAATATTGCAGAGGTGTGCCACAGACACAAAAAGACCATTTCTTGACTAGAAACATGGACAAAGAGTTCTCCAGTGCCCAGTCTCTCTCTTTTCTTTGCTCTTTTCATCACGACTCATGATAATGAAATAATTTCCAGTTCTAAAGGTGTTCCAAGTGTTGCTGAAATAACTTCAAACATACCGTTCATGGGCTGCCGACAGCTAAAAAGGGAACCGTCTATCTCTGAACACCAGATTCTTGGGCACAAACACCTGTCATAAGGCCCTCCTTACATATTCTGCGGGAGCCCACGGCCGGCCACTGTCAAGAGACAGAATGCTGGGCAGAGCCATGCGAGCCGTACTGAGCGCTTCGGGAGAAGTCACTGGGTGCCAATTCTTTCCAGCTTTGTAGCATATAAAAGAAATCAGTCAATGTTTTGGAAATACACACAAGCAAAGGGGAGAAAGAGCAGAGAAGCTGGTCTTCAACCTTCAGTTTGGGAGACAACAATCAAAACCCAGAATCAGAGGCGATCAATCTTTTACATACTGATCTGATTGTGGGGGTGGGGAGGGAAAAATAGTAGTAGAACAAAGTTTGAGTCCAATGGCGCCTTTCAGACCAACCAAGTTTTATTCAAGGTATAAGCTTTCGTGGGCACGCACATGTTCTTAGGATATACATTTTTTATCATTTAAATGATTCACTGGCTAATTTTTGTCCACATTTACTATAGCATTTGATGTGTGTGATGAGGACTCGTGACTGCTTTTCCATCTCCATCGGGAGTCGAAGGACCTGTTGCAGATGGACCCGGCATTTCTGTTCGGCTGTTGCGGCTAATAAGCCATCGATAGACCCATCTCCTCCACGGTGTCGTCTCCCGTTCTTTAAAGCCAGCTGGCCTCAGTAAGTTCTCCCGAAGTCACATGGTTTCAATCAAGGGGATGAAGCGTTGCTACGTGCTGACAGCAACCGTAATTACCATACAGAGATTGTTAAATAAATTGCACTGGAGATTCTTCTCTCCCAATTATCCAATAAGTTAAATTGACATAGCGCCATCCTACAATCAGGGGAAAGTCCCACTCTTCTGTAAACTTAGGTTAAAGGCTACAGACTGGATTAGTCAACATATATGTAATTATCGTTATCAGTTGCTACAGCAACGGGGCTGATTCCCTTTCATGCAGAGGCTGAGGTTTCAGCATTTGACTGTTTTGTTGAATAAAATAACTGCTGCGTGTCTAGACTGGTGGCCTTCCATTTGAATGTCAAGAGACGTCCAATGCTCCCTCTAAGCTGTGGAGTCCTGTGAGCAAAAATCCTACCTTGTGAGCTCCTGGCATTAAAGCTGTGAGCAGGTGATTTGGCTACTGCATCGATTAGTTTGGTCTGGAGCCCTCCTTCCTGAGCTAAGATGAAAATGTGTGAGCTGGAGGCTCAAAAACTGTGAGCTAGCTCACACTGACTCAGCTTAGAGGGAACACTGGAGACAAAGTGCAAACAGTCCCTACAAAACTGCTGGGTCTGAATTTTGTTTTAGTTTGATGACCGCAACCTTGACCTGGATGGCCCAGGCTTGCCCGATCTCATCAGATTTTGGAAACTACAGAGGGTCAGCCCTGCTTACTAATGGGATGGGAGACCACCCAGGAAGTCCAGGGTTGCTAAACAGAGGCGGGCTGTGGCAAATCACCTCTGAAGGGTCTCTTGCCTTGGAAACCCCACGGGGGTCACCGTAAGTCGGCCACGACTTGAAGGCACTTTCTACCATCATCGGGATGACTGCATAATTAAAAAATAATTGATCACAAACCAAGACAAGAAGATTCAGGGGCACGATCCATTCCCCTCCCGTTTGAGGGAGGAGTAGGGCTGCCAAATCCCCCCAGGGGGCGGATTTCCCCCCGCTTTGGAGGCCCGATTTCCGCCTCCGCGGAATCGGGCCCCGGGGGAAACCCCACCCCGGCATGCACGTCATCCGGATGTGACGTGATGACGCCGGGCACGCTGGGGGCGGGGCCACAGCCATTTGAGGGGAAAGCATGTGCATGCGGCGCGCGCGCGCTCAGGACGCCGACCGGGAGCCCCCCACCGCAAGGAAAAACAGGTTTGGCAACCCTAGGGAGGAGCATCCCGCGGGGAGAAAGTATCAAGCTCTGGTGGGTGATACTTGTGTTACTCAACTCACGCCCATAGAGAGGCATCAAGATGGGGAGCTGTGTTTGTCTGTAGCAGGAGAGAAGAGCAAGAGTCCAGTAGCACCTCAAAGACTAACAAAGTTTGTGGCAGGGGAGGAGCTTTCCTTTGTGGCAGCGGGTGAGCTTCTTTTCTGAAGACGTGAGCGGTGCGTATAGTCTTTCATACCATGTGCAGACCAACAAAACAGGGAGGAATGGCTTTCCCCGACTTGAGAATTTATTACAACTCCATCATGTTATCCAACATTATACAAAATCTGAGAATGCAGAATCCTCTGGGCTGGGTCATAATTCAGCCATAATACACCTATCCCAAATCAATATTGGATGCAATCTGGAACAAGAGGCAATTCAGGTGTGAACTGATTAATAAGAGCCAGCTCCTTAGCTCTATTCTGTGTGTTTGGTCTTCTAGGAGGAAAAAAATGTTACTTGTTCAGACCTTGTCTCACTTCATTATTGAATCAAGTTTGGTTCGTACAGGGACAAAACTGTGCCCTCTTTGAAGTATGGAAACACTCTTAATATTACCAGACTAAGCATGGTATTCTCAATAAAGCAAAACTGGGAGGACAAACTTGAGGAGAAGGTACCATGGTTCCTCTATGTTGCACTGAAGAATCTTTGTGATAGTTTAAATGTTGATAGTATATTGTCAGCTCCATTAAGTGAATTCGAACACATTCTCCAGATCTGCATGACAAGTAATCATAATTTGATTTCTAAAATCTAACAGACTGCGCTTAAATTGGAAAATAAGAATCCTTTGTCGTATCAGAATTCGTGGCAAACTGATTGTAACTTGACATTGTCAGAAAGAAGCTGGTCAAAAAAAAAAAAAAGAAGAAGCTGGTCACAAATCTGGAAGTTGAATACGTTTTCCTCGCAGAGTCCAAGTGAGAGAATCTAAATGTTCAAGATTGTGGCTCACTTGCCTGCCTCTGTGTTATGACCTTGGTATCCCTTGGAGGTCTCCCATCCAAGTACTGACCGGGGCCGACCCTGCTTAGCTTCTGAGATCTGATGGGGTCAGCTAGCCTGGGCCATCCAGGTCAGGGTGACAGACCTCTACAATACAGAGATTGAGGGGGAAAACACAAGACCTTGCACATTTCCATTAGGAAGAGACTGCAAGATTAAATGAAGAGCTCCTTTTTGTAAGGATTCTTGCTTGGTTCTACAAGAGGCCAATTCACTTATCTCAACAGAACAGCTGGTGTGGAGAATCCTTATCAATGGAAAGATGAGCTGCCAACAACCTGGAGGGAAAAAATGTCCTGCCCCCTTAACAGGGGGCATGATGGCATGTTATTTCCCAGGTGATGTTATTTACCCCTGTGCCATGAAAACCTTCAGCTGCCCATTTAAAAACTTAAAGTTAAAGGAATTCAGCATTTTTCTGCAGGCCTGTTGGCACCTCTAAAGGGCAAAGAGGTGTCTTCCGCCCATAGTCCCGTATAGGAAGTGCTCCAAGGCAATGCTCCCTCTAAGCTGTGGAGTCTTGTGAGCAAAAATTCTACTTGGTGAGCTACCGGCATTAAAATTGTGAGCGAGCGATTTGGCTGCTGCATAAATTAGTTTGCTCCAACGTATATTCGAAAAGCAAAAACAAACCATAAAATAAAAAAAATAAAAAAATTAAAAATTTAAAAACGCTTTCCAGAAATTCAAAACAGAATGCAAGAAACACTGCTCAGTGCAGCTTACAATAAAGGGCATCACTGTGTTCTGTAATATGGCAAACGTTTGGAATTCCCTGGGGTAGAAAAGGCAAAGCAAAGCAGAGCTCCACCCATAGCTCTTCTCCATAGCTCTTCACCTGAGCAGCAAATGCCTGCCTTAACCATCTCCCTAAATATTAGCAAAGACTGAATGTGACAGGGAGTAACGTCTGCAGCATGTCTAGACGTGTACCTTGAGAAAGAAGTCCTGAGCACCTCAAGCAAGAGGGGAGGGGCCGTGGCTCAGTGGGAGAGCCTCTACCCCACATGCAGAAGGTCCCTGGTTCAATCCCCAACATCTCCAGTTGAAAGGACTAGGCAGGTGGTGACGTGAAAGACTTCTGCCTGAGATACTGGAGAGCCGCTACCAGTCAAAGCAGGCAATACTGAGCTCGATGGACCCAGGGTCTGATTCAGTATAATCAGGTGTGTCAATCCTCCCTCCCTCACCACTCCCTCCTCCCCTTCACTCCCCTGTAGCTGCAGGGAAAATGTGCCTGGTTGGGGACATGCGATCCAGGTAGTGGCAGGCAGGGAAAGATCAGGTACCGTCCCACCATCGATGCTTCCTCCCTCCCAGCTGTGCTCTGTCCTGCCAAGTCTGCATCTTTACAGCGGGCCACTAGAGCAACCAACAACCAACAGTGCAGCACACAGCAAGAAATAGCAAAGACCATGGAGGCATGTTTGGTCCTGTTACACAGAAGCAGCCTAGAGAGGTGCTCACTAGAGCTTAGGAGACCTGGCCCATAAAGAAACGGAATAGTATTGTCCTATAAGGAAATGGAATGAGACTTCCTATAGTTGTTCTTTGCTCCTGAGGAAGGACCAGAAGTCTGAAACACTGCATACTACCTACTCTGGACTTTTTCCTTTCATGGATCCTGTGGGCTTCTGTATTTTCCTATGATGGATTGTATGTATTCATTCTCGATTACATGTGCATTTCACTTTGTTGAAGTCTCCTTTAGTATATATTTTTGCGGGTAATTCATCACAGTTGTTTTCTGTTGGTCTTTGCTAGGTCTGCATCTTTGTCAAGCATCTAGTTTCACCCTTACCCCTTGGAACTGTGCAACCGGAAAGGGGCTGGTCCGTGCCTCAACCGGTCAGTGGGAGAACCCAGTGGTGAGAGAGAGATTGGATTTATACCCCATGGCCCTTCACTACCCGAAGGTGTCTCAGAGCAGCTTACAAACTCCTTTCCCTTCCCCTCCCCACAACAGACACCCTGTGAGGCAGGCGGGGCTGAGAGAGCTCTGACAGAAACTGCTCTTTTTCAAGGACAGCTCTTATCAGAACTACGGCTTGCTCAAGGTCATCCAGCCAGGTGCGAGAGGAGGAGTGGGGAATCAAACCCGGCTCTCCCAGATTAGAGTCTGCGCACCTAACCACGGCACCAAACTGGCTCTCAAAGGGACTGAATACAGCTCGCCAAGCAGATGACAGCAGAAGGAAATGCATTTTTGTCACAGAAAATTGGGAAATACAGCTGGCTGGCTGGCAGATGGGAGTCAATTCTAAAACCTGAGTCATGCTCAGAGTCATGCATCAGCAGAGTCCTGAAGCCTCCTGGGTTACAGAACCAAAGATTCATCTATACTTTACTATAGAAATTAAAGTAATATAGATTTACCAGAGGACTGCAGTTCAATCCAGGCCCTAATTCCACGACAGCTTACAGATACATACCTAAACAGCATACTCAAGAGGTGTCAGTTATCAAAGACTGTTATATAAAGGAAATACTGTAAGGCTCTTAATGTTTTAAGCATGTCTGTATTTTGAGTAAAAATCATATTGTTAATTGGGTTTGCCTGTGTCCTTACTGAAGTTTATATCTCCAGTACCCGGCATTACATTTTATGGTACACATGGCCTAGCCAGAGACAGTGACACTTATGTCAGATCCGGCCCTTTGAACAAATGAGTTCGACACCTCTGCTCTAAGCTGTGAAAAATAAAGCAAGACGAGGGGAAAAACATACTTACAGGAAGTCCTGAAATATCAGAGTATTTCTTGGCTGGTTTAAAGCAAGGAGGAGCATCAATACTGAAGTCTGGAAGAGTGGTAGAAACAGAACAGAAGAAAGTGCATTTAATGGTAGGACCAGCTAAGTCTACACAGCTATTTGTTTACACCCCCCCCCAGCCAAGCAGTTCTTAAGAGAGAGAAATACAAAAAGGCAGAAAGGACTATCTTTCACATTTTTATCCTGCCTTTCCTCCAGGAAATTCAAGGCAGCGTGAATGGCTGTCTCCTTCTTCCTTTTCCCCTCACAAAAATCCTGGGAGGTAGTCTCTGCTGAGAGTGTGTGAATGGTCCAGGGGCTTGAGGGCTCCTACGAGCAGGCCCCAGCTCTGCAAGACAGCAGACCTGCTCCAGTGATAAAGTGTCTGGAACGAGGGAATAAACACGGGAGTTTAGCAGACGTGCCAGTTCAGCAGCAGGGTGAGGAAGCCAGGGCACTAATCTCTCCACATCCCTAACTGGGTAAGCAGACTTCCCACAAACAAAGGGGGATGAAAAAAGACAATTATGAAGGTAGAATGCTAGCAGGGGGTTGGGGGCTATCCAGTGTATTGCACTCAGTGTAACACGATAGATTTTATATTTTTGTCAGGAAATCCACAAGTTTGCATTTGAGTTCTTTCAGAACTCTTGGCTGTATGCCATCTGGGCCTGGCGATTTGTCAGCCAACTGAACAGAAGTCATGGGTGTGTGCTCAGTGCAAGGAGCTCCTGGTTCTGAGGGAATGTTTTCAAACCCTCAAGGCCAAGGTGGGTGACCTGGAGAAGCAGACAGTCAGTTAGGCACACGGATAATATCCTCGGAAGACTATTTAAAACTACAATACTGGAAGCTCAGATAAAATGTATATTGCACGTTAGGAAAGGTACGAATTGGTTTTTAAAGAGGCCTGCATGGTTAACAAATAAAGTAATGAAAGTAATAAAAGGTAAGAAGGATTCCATTAAGCAGTGGAAGGCTAGTCTGAGTTTGGTAAATAAAAGGGAGCACAGGCTGTGGCAAATAAAATGCAAGTCAGTGATCAGACAGGCAAAAACGGACTATGAGGACTACTGCAACAAACATAAAAACCGACAATAAAAATGCCTTCAAGCATAAAAGCATAAAACCAAGCATTAGAAGCATAAAAACAGCCCAGCCAGGGGGTGCAGTTGGGCCCTCAGATGACCAAGAGGGGAAAGGATTACTAAAGGATGATAGGGAAATCACTGTGGAAGATCGGAGGTGCCTGCCCACTACAGAATCACTGATTTCAGGAGGGATGTTGAAAGACCCAAGTCGGATTGAGGTGATGAGAGAGAAAGTCCTATGACTGATGGGAAAATTAAAACCTGACAAATCACCAGCCCAGATGGCATACATCCAAGAGTTCTGAAAGAACTCAAATGCAAACTTGTGGATCTCCTGACAAAAATATAAAATCTATCACTAAAATCTGCCTCCATTCCCAAGGACTGAAAGGTAGCTAATGTAACCCCCTTCTTAAACAAGGGTTCCAGAGAAGATCTGGAAAATTACAGGCCGGTCAGTCAATATCAGGAAAGCTGGTGGAATCCGTTATTAAAGATGGAATTAGTAGGCACACTGATGAGCAACAGCTATTGAGGAAGAACCAGCATGGGTTCTGTAAGGGAAGATCTGGTCTCACTAACTTTTTAGAGTTCTTTGAGGGGGGGTAACCAAACATGTGGACAAGGGGGATCTAGCAGATGCTGTTTATTTATTTATATTTATTTATTTATGCTTTCGGCTTGTATCCCGCTCGAACCCCGAGGGGTCTCTGAGCGGCTTACACAATTATTTGTTCCCTAACTAAGGCCACAATCATGAGGGGGGGTGTGACTTCCTACCAGCACCTGGCAGCGGGGCCTATCCATTGCTGATGTCTGGCTTTCTTCGCCGGCCTCAGACATTGGCGCTTTCCTTCCGTGTCCCGGGGCAGATCTTCTTCCGATTCCGCGGCTCCTTTTCTCGGCGGGGCTCCTCCGGTGTGCGGCCTGCGGCCGCCGCAGCTCCAGCTATTGTCCTTTCCGGCTCCGTCGCGCTATGCCGCCGTGCTGCCGCACCTCCGTGGCTCCGCCTCTGCCGGACTCACACCGCACTCGCCAGATGCTCCTCAGCCGCTCCAACATTAGATTCTGCCATCACTGTTCCATCGCTGCCGCTGCCGTCGCCTCTGCTGCACACCCCACTAGTGGGGAGGTGCCCCCTGCCACCTAGGGCAGGTACCCATTTATCTACTTGCTTTAGATGTTAATGCTTTTGAACCGCTGGGTGGGCGGTTTACCTAGACTTCCAGAAAGCTTTTAAGAAAGTTCCTCATCAAAGGCTCTTAAGCAAACTCAGCAGTCATGGGATAAGAGGACAAGTCCTCTTGAGGATTAAAAACAGTTTTCATAGTGGAAGGTGGTAAGCAATGGGGTACCATAGGGTACTAGGTGCGGCGCTTTTTGACTTGTTCATAAATGATCCACAAATGGAGTTGGGAATAAGCACTGGAGTGGCTAAATTTGTGGATGACACTAAGTTGTTCAGACATTACCAAAAGAATCACAATAATAAAAATACCAACAAAAGAAAAAATTACTGTGAACAAGGCACTAATAAATTAATAAAGATATATCAAAATCAATTGTGTATTCTTGGTTATTATATAGTCATGATTACTGCCATCAATAAGTTTCATGTAACAAATATTCAAATTCATAAAGAATACATGTGTGAAATCCTTTTAGAGACCATTTGTTGTTGTTCAGTCGCACAGTCGAGTCCGACTCTTCGTGACCCCATGGACCAGCTCCCGCCAGGCCCTCCTGTCTTCCGCCGGCCTCTGAAGTTGGCTCAATGTCATGTTCGTTGCATCGATGACACTGTCTAACCATCTCATCCTTTGCCGTCCCCGTCTTCTTTGACCTTCAATCATTCCCAGCATCAGGGTCTTCTCCAGTGAGTGCTCCCTTCTCATTTGGTGGCCAAAGTATTTGAGCTTCAGTTTCATTATCTGGCCTTCCAGGGAACAGTCAGGGTTGATTTCTTTTAGGATTGACTGATTTGATCTTCTTGCAGTCCAAGGGACTCTCAAGAGTCTTCTCCAGCACCATAGTTCAAAAGAATCTATTCTTCGGCGCTCGGCCTTCCTTATAGTCCAACTCTCGCAGCCATACATGACTACTGAAAGACTATTGAAAGAGGTAGTCAATCTTTAAAGGTACAATTGTGGTCTTAGGGTACTGTCTCAGTGATGATCTGGTTCTTATAGATCCACATGGGTCAATGCAGGGGTAATTCATGAGGACAACCAGATGGATTTCACCTAGAGAACTGGTGTTGAGTAGTGATGGGCATGAACTGGGAAAATGTGGTATGGTTCATGGTATGCCAGCTTCATGAACCATGAAACATCACAAATAAACCAGTTTCATTTGTGAGGTTTGTGACATGGTAGAACACCCCTCAGCATGATAGAGACACCAAACTCACAAGGGATATCCGGCTAACCCTCCTCTACCTACATGCCAAGGTTGGTGAGGATTGAATTTATGGGGTTCGAGTTATGGCTCCCCCAAAGAAGGTGTCCCCAGGAAAGCATTTTCTGGGGAAATGACAAGCACAGGTTCATGAGGGTCAGGATTGTATAGAATGGATCCTGTGCAAATTAAAGATGCCAAACATGCAAGAGATCTCCAGATGACTCTCCTCTACTTGCCCTCCAAGTTTGATGAGGATTGGATTTATGGGGTCCAAGTTACAGCCCCCCAAAGAAGGTGCTCCTATGGAGGGAAAAACAGCAAAAAAGCAAGGACAACAGAAGCCATGCAGAACAGAATCGAAGTCCCAGAGAATCTCTGCAGTAGAAACTGAAGGTTGGAGGCATTTTTGCAAGCCCAGCAGAACCAGTGCAATGTGCCCAGCAGAACTAGTGCCACTGTGGCACTGTGAACCCAACAGGACTAAGGTCAAGTCAGGGAAGTGTTTTTTGGGGGGACATGTCAGACACAGGTTCAAAAGTATATAGAATGGACCCCCTGCAAGTTACACACACCAAATGCACAGGGAACCTCACCCTGCCACCTGCTCTTTTACAATCTCTTCAAGTTGGGGGTGGATTACATTTCTGGCGTCCCAGTTACAGACTCCCCCAAAAAGTCTCTCCAATGCTCTTTCCAGAAAAGACAGCTGCAGTTACAGGAGTCTATGGAACAGCTCAGAAATACCCATTCTATTGTTTTCTTCTATTACTTTGCACTGTTCATTCAGGAAGGCCTCCTTATCTCTCCTTGCTGTTCTCTGGAAATCTGCATTCAGTTGAGTAAATCTTTCCTTTTCGCCTTTGCCTTTCGCTTTCCTTCTTTCCTCTGCTATTTGTAAAGCCTCATCAGAAAGCCACTTTGCTTTCTTGCATTTCTTTTTCTTTGGGATGTGGTGATTGCTGCCTCCTGTACAATGTCACGAACCTCCGTTCATAGTTCTTCAGGCACTCTATCTATCAAATCCAGACCCTTGAATCTATTCTTCACCTCTACTGTATATTCATCAGGGATGCGATATAGGTCAAACCTGAATGGCCTAGTGGTTTTCCCAATTTTCTTCAGTTTAAGTCTGAATTTTGCAGTGAGTAGCTCATGATCTGAACCACAGTCAGCTCCAGGTCTTGTTTTTACTGACTGGATAGAGCTTCTCCATCTTTGACTGCAAATTATATAGTTAATCTGATTTCGGTGTTGCCCATCTGGTGATGTCCATGTGTAGAGTCGCCTCTTAGGTTGTTGGAAAAGGGTGTTCGCTATGACCAGTGTGTTCTCTTGACAAAACTCTGTTAACCTTTGTCCTGCTTCATTTTGCTTTCCAAGGCCAAACTTGACTGTTATTCCGGTTACCTTTTGACTTTCTACTTTAGCCATACAAAATATATAAAAGTTTATTCCAATATTCATGCAGGAAAATCCATGCAGGGATGAGGTTTCTGGCTATGCCACTCATTTCAAAATCTTCCTCAGGTAAGAACTGAAAATATGAAAAAGCATATA